CAAAAAAAAAAACGAACAGAAATTTTCTTTTCTTTGAATATTAATCGTTCTCTAATTTTCTCTCTGTGTTCTCATTCATACATTCGAGTCTCATCGCGTAGATTTGATCTCTCTCATCTTTCCTCTCTCTCTCTCACACATGCATACCCGACATTCTATCATATTCTCTCTTTCTCTCTTTCATTTGTACACGCACTATAATTCGAGATTAAAACAACCATGATAACAAAACAAAAGAGAAATTACAGAAAATCTTCCGTATGGAATTTTGCACTTCCTTTTTTTCGTTTAAACTTTTTTCTATCTTCTTATAGTCTCTCTAATTGATAAAGGGCTCGTTTAAAAGCACTCACAAACGACCGTCGTTATCGTTCGATTTTTAAAGTCACTATCTAAGCAGTTTTATGGCACGTATTCTCGTACAAGCCCTTCCTCTTTTCTTTCTCTTTTATTCTTCCGTTTTGAGAAAAAAGAAAATTTCTCTTTCCTTATATCGCTTTTCTTTCATCCTTTCTTTATTATTTTATTCATCGTTAAACGAATCCCGCGGAATTATATCGAATCGCAACAATAACGGACCCGTTTTACACGCACCTGGAAATGAGTCTTTGTTTTTTTACCTTCGAATATAGTTTATCAGACTTGGACGTGAAGAAGATATCCACCTTAGGATCGTAGTTCTTTCACATTGTCGACAGTCTCTGTTGATTCTCGATGGCTTATATATATATATATATATTTTTTTTTTTATAAAAAATTTCCAAGAAATTTTTCCTAGTACTTTTTCTAAACACTTTGCAACATAGCACCCTTCGAACAACATAAGCATCTCAAGAAATATATACATACATACTGATAATTTCTCTATCGTAACAAAAATAATACACGCTCTTTTCGGTGTTACAATTATTGCATATTCAATGAAATGAAACATGTTTTACTTTGATCCAGTCAGGTATCATTCAGAGACTCGTCGAAAAACCGCGATCATAAGTTTTGCAACAGCGCTCATCACTTCACCTATTATTTTTTTTTTATCGCAAAAGAATCTCCAAACATGAACAACTTATTGTTGAAAGACATCGATATAGACATTTGACTTTTCTTTTCTTTCTAGAATGGTCTGTTAAAGACCTCTTACATTCTTGTACGTCTTAGGGTTACGAAAGCTTTAACATTATCTGATATTTTATTTTTTCTGTTTTTCCTTTATCAGAGTATCCTAAAACGAACAAATTCTATCAATATGTCCTACGTTTAACATGGATATACCATCGGTACTTTTTTTAAATCTTTTCTCCATTGAAACGTTGGTGGCCCGCGATGTTCGACAGCGATCGGCGCGTATTATTTATTTAGAAATCAGTCAATTATGCGATGTTGCTCGTTTATAATAATCAAAACAAAGGAAAGATTCACCATGCTCTCTTCTCTCTCTCTCTCTCTCTCTCTCTCATTCCCTCTTCTTTTTCTCTCTATCGCTCTCTCCCATTCTCTCCCACTCTCTCTCTCTCTATCATTTTATTATTTGCGAGCATTTTTGTCGATGAAAACGGAAGAAAACATATTTTTATTAGCGCTTCCTTTTTTGTTGTTTGTTGTCGTCGTTTGTAATGTACAAGAGACTTTCTAGAAGTTATTCTGCAAAATATTG